AGCCGCCGCCGCCGCCGGCCGCACAGTCCCGGCTGCCTGCGCCCTCCTCGCTGGAGGTCCAGTCGCTAGTGTCCCCGGAGCCGGGCGGCGGCGAAGTTCCGGCCTTGGGGCTGGCGTCTGCGCCCCAGCTCTGCGGGGAGAAGCGCTCGGCGCCCAGCACCTCCACCAGCGCGCGCTCCAGGCCGCAGTAGTTGAAGAAGCGCTCCTTCTCCGACAGAGGCAGCGAACACGTGGGGCACAGCGGCCGTTTGCCTGCAGTCTCGGGGACATCTTGGGGCGCTGCCCAAGCCCCAGGAGCTGCAGGTCGCTCTGTCGGGCCGGGGCTGCTCGGGGCAGCGTCCCGGGAGGCGCCCGGGAAGAGGCGGCGCACCAGCCCCTGGCCCTTGGCGTTCTCTTTGTTCACCGAAGCCTTGCAGTCCCGCTTCTGGCGGTAGAAGATGAGGGAGTCTGGCCTCGGTTGCCGCCTGCCGCTGCCACGGCGGGCGGGTCCGGGCGTCCTGGGCGATGCGGGGGTTCCCAGCTCATTGCACACGTGCGGGGTGAGCGGCCCCGGGGTCCCCCGCAGAGCTGGCTCCTGGCGCCGCGCTATCACCTGGTGCGTCTTGACGTACTTGGCTTTGTCGGCCTCCAGCCTCTCCACTGCGCTGGGGGTCCGTCCCCTGGATGGGGTGGAGGGAGAGGCCATAAGCATCTTAGCAGAGCTGGGCAGGACCGTGCCCCATAAACCGCTGGAGGCGCAGTTGGGGAGAAGCCGAGAGCAGTTGGCTGGGATTCCCTGAGACCTGCAGAGAGAGAGGCACGGTTGGGAGGTGTCCCTGCCCCTCTCAGGCATTCCTCCACATTGTTATCAGTCAACCACCCAGCCCCATCCCTGTCGGCCAGGTCCGTGTCCGAGGAGGAGAGGTTCAGGCCATGCCTTCCCCTGTCCTTGAGAGGCTTTGGGTGAGGACTGTCTGGCTCCTGAGAAACACGTAGCCCTTCGTAGGTCCCCCCGGTCCAGCCGCAGGGCCGTGCAAGGAGGTGTTCAGGAGCAGGACACTCGGAAAAGGAAGTGGGGCTGGTCCCAGCCCAATTCCCAAAAGTAGCTTTAACCGGAAAAAATACCTCTTCCCAACCCAGCAGCTTTAAGCCCAAGACTGCGAGTCTCCCCAGCCACAGGCTGGTCCCGCAGGCCCACCCTTCCTGCCCCAAGGAGGAGGTCAGGGCTATAACCACAGGGTAAGCCTCCCGTAATTGCAGCCAACTGTCCCGCCCAGGTCTAGCCGGGCCATCCAGGAAGGAGCTGGAGGTGGTCCCCAGGTCACGGCTGCCCGTTCCTGACAGCTACTCTGTGCCCTAGCCAAGGGGATTCCAGAAAACCAAGCTGTAAACATCAGTTTGTCCAGCCCCTGCATTTCCATGTCATAGACCAGAAGCTGGCCTCCAGAGAAGGGGGCTTGCTGGAGTCCTTCTGAGAATTCGGGATCTGGACTGGAACCGGATCTCTTGCCTTACAGTCCAGAACTAGCTCAGGATGGACCCCCTCACTCTCCTATCAGGACTTCCCTCTGGTATTTTGCTTCTGTTCCTGCTACTGTAAAACCAAGTAATTACTCTTAGTGAGAAGAGCCTCGAAGTTCTTTCCCAATAAACTGCACGCCCAGAGATCTGCCCTCAGGCTCCCTGCTCCCTTCTCATCCTGAGACCTCTGACCCTGCTCCCAGTCTTCCACCTCCCTGGTGCTGGGGAAAGGGGCAAGGAGGGGCTGTAAATCAAGAGCTGACAGCTTCCTTGGCAGTTAAAAGAATGGGCCACCCAGCAGGCTCAACACATCCCACCCCACCCCACCCCTGTCCCCCTATTCCCCCCATCGCCCAGCAGCTGAGAGAGTCACCTTAGGGCTAGGGACTGAGGGAAAATTGGATCTGGAGGCAACAAAGGAGTAGATTAGCCAGAGATGTGGGGGAGATGTGTTAGGTGTGTCCCCCTCCCAGGACTTGGGGCAGACACCCTGCCAACCCCACCCCCAGGCCCGACCTGTTCAGATTTTCTCAACTGCCCCTATCTAATTCACAGTGAGTCTGCTCAGAGACCTTTGGTGACTGGAGCGCAGACAGCAGGGACTGCCTGGCCATGTCCCCCTTCTTCTCCAAGGGACCTTACGAAGCAGTGTGTTGTATTCCAAGGTCCCAGGAGGGAACTGTGCTTGTCTGACCTCATGGGTCCTCTACCCACCCCCTTCTCCCCAGCCCTGAGTAGGGAGGCTATAAAAAGTCCCTAAACACAAGGACCAAAATAATCTGCTGTCTCCTGCCTCTTCTCTGCCTCTGGGCAGACTTTAATGTGAGGCCACAGACAGGCCCACCCTAGAAGCCTGGTGGCACTCTCTCCCCTTTGTCCCTTTGCCTGTCCGCTCCCAGTCCTGGTCCCAACCCTGCGGAGGCTTAGGCTTGGGACATGGGCTGGCTTCTAGGTCAGTGGCTTGGGGCTAGTAGGCCCCTGGTGCCCCCCACCCAGCACTGGGCTCAGGATGCACTCACCTCTGGGTGGCGAGGCTGAACTGCAGGGGTCCCTGGGCAGGTCCAGACTGAGGGCAGAAGGGACAGCAGGGACCAGAAGTAACTTCGGTGGCAGCCAAACCTCACTCTCCACAGGAAAAGCTGAGCGGGCCTCCACCCCCACCTCCCCAGATTAACCCTTCTGGTCCCGGAGCCAACCTCAGTTAACTCCTCCTGGATCGCAGCTCAGGGGGAGGGCCTGGAGCTGGGTCCAGCTCCTTCAGGTTACAGATGCTCTCAGGCCCTGCCAGGTTAAATGGTTTGCTGTGGAGGCACCATGAATTTGGGGGCAGAGCTAGGGCTCCAAGCAGGATCTCGGGTCCCTAGGCTTCCTCCAGAGGCCCGGGGGTGGGGGTGGGGGTGGCAGATGCTCTGACTGAGCTGGAAGGCAGAGGACGGAGCAGGGCTCTAGCCCATTGCTTTTTTCCCCTCTGTGGAAGGCTTGTGCCTGGCCTGGCCTGGCTGTTCGGTGGTAGCAAGGCTGCTCGCCCTAGGGGTGAGTCCAGGCATCTGCAGCCCCAGGATGGGGCCCTGGTGCTGCAGACAGGAGGGTGAGTCTGCTGGAACAAAACCGAGCCTCTGTGTAAGGTCCCCTGATGGGAGTGGGACAGCCCACTGGGAAGAGGATGATAAGGGAGGTTTCTGGGCCCAAACCTCTAACCTTCAGCCTCCTTCCTTCTTTTATCACACACAGGGACTCCTAGACCTGGGACAGTCTCTTCTGGGAGGACTTTTATCTCAACGAGAAGTCTTACCCCAAGGAGAGCTCCCCCACCTCCCTGCAGTTAAATGGCTTCACCCACTCAGGATTCAAACCCAGGGCTCCTCCAAAGTCGTCCCTGCCCTCTAGCTGGTCACTTAGCTCAAGTTCTCTCCCCACTTCTGGCACTTTTTAATGTTTGCACAGCAGGTTCACGTCTGCGCTTTCAGACTTCCTTTGGCCTCCTGTGTGGACTCTAGACCTGGGTGCAGCTGGGATAACAGCTCTACTTTTTTTTTTTTTTTTTTTTTTTTTTTGAGACAGGGTTTTACTGTGCAGTTCAGGCTGGCTTTGAGCTCACTTTGTAACCCAGGCTGGTCTCAAACTTGCAACAATCCTCCTGCCTCATCCTCCCCAGTGCTGGGATTACAGGTGTGTGCCACCACACCCGGCTAACAGCTCTACTTAATGGGTAAGGAAATGGACAGAGAGGGGAGAGCCCAGGGCCCACTTCCACATCTACTCTCTCTGCCTGTCAGCAAGGTAATGAGTGTGACAACCCAAAGGCCATCTGGGAGGAGATTGTTACTGTACCTAGTTAAAGGGAGAGTTTTTGTTTGTTTTTTGGAGACAAAGTCTCACTATATAGTTCAGGCTGGCTTTGAACTCACTATGTAGCCCATGTTGGCCCCAAACTCAGAGCAATCCTACTGCTTCAGCCTCCCAAGTGCTGGAATTATAGGCATGCGCCACCAGCTGTTTTTTTGGTGTTTTTGTCCAGGAAGGTTCTACATTGTATTGTTCCGAATGTTTTCAGGAACACTGTCAACATTAATCCTGAGGACAATCTTGGAGGAGGAGATTTTATTATATTTCCCATTTGAAGCCGAAAAGACTGAGGCTTGGGCTTATCCAAGCTTACACAGTGAAGAATAATAGCTAACTTTTATTGAGAGGTTAATGTATCCTGGGGGCTGTTCCAAGGACTCTGCACAGTGATTAGTGTATTTTGTTCCTCAGAACGATCCAGTGAAATGGTTCTTTCAGTCTCCTAGTTTCACAGGCATAGGTGGGGTTGCCGGCCAGCAGTCTGAGGTCTGGGCCTGAAGGGGTTAAGCTAGGGAGGCTGGGCCGGCCCAGCTGGGATGCTGTCAATGGCAGGAAACCTGGCCAGGCCCGAGGAGGATGGGGCTGTGGTGTCTGCCTGAGCAACCCCCATCCCCTTTGGTCTTAAAGGGTCGTCCGGGCTGGGTGGAAGGAGGGGCTTCACAGCTCCGTGCTGGGCTCAAGGATATACTAGACCTCAAACAAAGGGCGTCCAGAGGGCAATACAGGTGCTGCCCAGAGGGGTGACTCACCTCAACTTGTCAGAGGTGACCCTGGCTTCCCTCACAGTGCTCGCTGGCTACTCTGGGAGTCAGCGTGGCCCTCAGGGGTCTCCCTGGGGGTAAGGGAAGGGCTCGAGAGCTTTGGTCCCAGCAGTCCTGCCTGAGGGGTCACACCTGTCCCAGGACGTGATGGGCAGAGTCCCAGGACACAGACACAGACGCTAGACCACACATGCAGAGCCGGGCCTGGGGAGAGAGGCGAAGAGGAGTGGCTTTCTGGGTGAGGGGCACTGGGAGAGTCGGAGGGGCTGAGCGCGAGGGGTGAGGGCTGCTGTCTGCCTGGCCTGCCGCATCTCCCATCCACGCTCGCCCTGAACCGGATCATCGCTTTCTGGTCATGGGTCCCCAGGGAGATTCTTAAAGTGACTCCTTCCTGCCCTAGAGCCAGGACCTTGGGCAGCGGGGAGGCCAAGTCTGAGGGATGTTTCCTGCTTGTTTCCGACCTCATTCCCGGCACCTTGCTCAGCTGGGAACTGGCCTGAGTCAGAACCGGCTCCTTTCAAGAGAAAGTGATGGGAGGATGGAGCCGGGGCAGCTCTGGTCACGATGCCAACAATGAACCCGGCAGGCAGGGAGGCTCTTCAAATCTGGCAAAGACCCCCACATCCACAGTCACAGAGGCAACGTGTCCCCAACCCCACGCCACAGCCATCCACCCCTCAGTCCTGCCTTTGATTTTTTTTTTTTTTTTTTGGCTTTTTGAGACAGGGTCTCTCTTTGCAGTTCAAACTGCCCTTGAGCTCACTTTGTAGCCCAGGCTGGTCTCGAACTCGCAGTGATCCTCCTGCCTCAGCCTCCTGAGTGCTGGGTTTAAATTTTTATTTTTCTCCGGTACCGGGAACCGAACTCACGACC